AGAAAAATATTTCTACCTGCCATCGGCATGGCTGGCGCTAAACTCCTGGAGAGCAACCGACTGCGCCTTCGTGGACTCACGTTCTCAACTGATTTGATGAGCAGCCACTACATTGAATCGAAAGCTGCATCTACTGCAAGGAAAGTTGGTTCACTCTATCGTACCCGAAGGTTCTTTTCGTCAGAGTTCATCTTGCACATTTACAAATGTATAATTTCTCCGTGCATTGAATACTGCTTCCATATCAGGTCTGGTGATCCTGTTATTCATCTCGAAGTTCTTGAAATAATCCAAAGAATACGCAATATAATCGATCCTGACTTGGCATCTCGACTTCAGTCACTTTCCTACCAATATGGCCTGACTTCCCCCTGTCTTTTACAAGCGGAAGAAATGCAAAGATTAGAAAAGCAGAAGAGTTAAAAGAAATTACAAAATTAGGAATGAAAATGAAGTCCTATCAGCTAAAGAAAAAGTAAAGCGTAACAATGAAGTTGAATGCTTAAAAACTCAGACGCTATGAAGAAACATCAAGATTCTACAGACAGAACAAGATCTTTCAAACCGTTGCTGAGGAATTTTGCCGAGAAGTAGGTAAACAAAAATTTGAAGTGACACCATCCACCCTACAACAATGGAAGAGTTGAAACTGTTCTGGGAAAAATATGGGCTTGCTCTAAAGAACAAAGTATCAGATTGGACTACGCAAGAGTTATAAAGGATGAAAAATAGATATATAAATAGAGAATTCAAGTTATAGATATACAGGGGGGCAAAGGTTGCTGACCTTTTTAAATCTTTAATAACTTTCATAATTTTCAAGTTATACTTACAAAATTTGAGCAAGAGGTGAAATGATTCTTCCGAGATTTTCGGCAATATTCTTTGCAACATTCTTTGTAAGAAGGAACGCGAAACTCCCATTAGTTGCGATCTTCTTCTCCTGGTTGAAACATGGATTTTATTCCAGGCTTCACTCCAATTCTCGTTGATTCTCAATAGTTCTTGACGTACAAGGCCTTCCAGATATTGGGAGATCACAAACTGCACGTTGTTCCTGAAAACTGCTAATTATTCCGCGAATAGTGTTTTGACTCGGGGCTTCTCTGGTATTGAAATGTCGATGGTAAGAAAGCTGCGTTTCCGAAATTGACCCATGGGACTCAAAGTACCACTGTCCAATGAGGAGAAGAAAATCAAAAATAAAGCTATTGAACAGAAGTAGCAACGCTGGTAAGACAAACCTCTGCATGACCAATATCCAGAACGTGCTGATAAAACAGATTTGGATTAAATGCTGAAACAGGAGGCTTTATACTTAGAGTGAGCTGGAAGGTCTTCTGACAACAGTAAAATGTTTCAGTGATAACATTGGAATGGAATTCGGTTTGGATAAATGTGGTAAATTTACAACCTTACGAGGATCACTACAACAAACTTCCTCTATTAGCTTATACCCTGGGGTAACAATCAATATTTAGAGCAAGCAGAATCGTATAAATCCCTCGATGTAAAGGAAAGTTAAGGAATTCACCATAAAAAAATAATAAAAATAGAGTACTATAGAAGGATGCGATAAATATTTAGAACTAAATTGAATTCTCAGAACAGAATTATGGCCATTAAGCGCTTGCCATTCAAGTGGTTTAATATAGTTTTAACATCTGGACTCTAAATGATATCAGACGAATGGATTCTAAGTCAAGGATTCTTCTTTCTAAACATAACATGAATAATCCTTTGGATGATGTATTCCGTCTATGCATAACCCGTAAAGAAAATGGAATTGGTCTTATTAAGCTAGAATCGTCATACAAAACAACTATTGGCTTACTTACTACAAGGAAACAACAAAGGACTGGATGATACAATTAGTCAAACAACACGAAAACACAATGAAAAATATTCAAACATGAAAGAAGGTTGTAAATACAAACAAAATTTACATTGAGTAGATTCTGTAGAAAACCAAAACAGAACCCAAGAACCAAATGTTGCTGCAAAAATTATGAAAAAGAAAGCCAAGATAAAGTCTTTGAACAGATGAAACAACGATGACAAGACAAACCTCGACATGGCCAATATCCAAAACGAGGTTATAAAAAGGATGTTGATAAAGTTAACACTCATCGATGGTTACGAACATTTGGATTAAAGGCTGAAACGGAAGGCTTTATTCTTGCATCGCAAGACCTAGAGACTTTACACTAGTAACTTTTAGGCAAATATCATACATAATAGTGTGGATGCAAAATTCAGGTTCTGTGGCAAATATCCGGTAACCAGAGACCATCTAATCTCAACTCAAAATCGTCACGATAGAGTGGGTCAATATTTACAATGAACAATGTGCAAACGCTCTAGGAAAAATATTAACAAACACTGGTATGAACATCACACAGCACCAGTTACAGAAATATTAGACATAACAAATCTATGGAATTAAACTATCTGTAGAGACAGGAAGGTCGAAGCAAATAGGCCGGGCATAATTGTCAAAAACCTAAAAGAAAAAAAAATCTACTAATTGATATGGCTTGACCAGGGTACCAGTAACATAGCAATCAAGGAATTTGAAGTACTATCGAAGTATAAAAGTCCTGGAAATCGAAATAGAAAAAAATGTAGAAATGAATACAAGAATAGTACCAGTCATAGTAAGCGTGTTTGGAATTGTATTGTACAATGTATGTGCCAAGTTTGGTCAAAATCGGTTCGATGGATCTCGAGTGAAAAGGTATCACACAGACAGACATTCTTTATTTTATATATATAGAGAGATTACTCCATAGCTTCCTTGTAAATATGAAGCATGTGTCATAATAGATAAAAATTATTTTTTCTAATAAGATGTTGAAAAGTCCTAAATTATACGAGAAATAAGTAACAAAGTGTGGGAAGTAACACAACAACTAAACTGACAATAGTAGGTAGGAACAAAGAGCCGTGAGGAGGGTAACAAAAAAAAAAAAAAAATCCCCGGTGTCGCACGTCCAACCTTCTCACGAGCCGAAAGCTCTCTCAGCCGAAACAGCAAAACGCGCCTGCTTTATACAGCCGAGGACCGACCACGATTTGCATGCGAATGACGAGACAACGAGATTTCGCGTTAACTAACCGAGATCTCCCGGCATAAAATATGGGCGCCGCCATTTTGGTTCCTTTTACCGCTGGAGAAATGGAGTTTTGCACACCGCACAGATTCGCAGGCGTTTCCGAGGTAGGCCATTTTTACAATTTTCCCCACACAAAGAGAAAAAGAGAGAAAACGCAAATATAGTGAAAGAAAGAAAACAGAAAGAAAGAAAACGAATGTAAGTCGAAAGAGAAGGAAAGAAAATATAGTGAAAGAAAGAAAGAAAGAAGCATCAAACAAACAAGCCGCAAGAGAGGAAAAAAAACAAAGCGATTGAAAGGAAGACAAAAGAAAAGGAAGAAAGAAGGAAAAGAAAAAAAAAAGAAACAATTCGGACTCTTATCCATACAGCCGTCCAAACACATTTGAACTGCCAAGTAAAGATTGAACAGTCTCATCGTAGTCTCCTATTTCTGGTTTTCCAATATCAGAAGCACTTTTAAAATAACTAACTAAATATCTCTGCGTCTTCTATACGAACTTTATACCTTCCGTGGATTAACTTTTTCCTAACATTCACTAAAGGAGTCTCTAATTCTTCCTAAGACGTTCACCTTTACCTTGTTCAACTTCATAACAATATCACTTATTAAAACAGTATTATTATCATCGTCAATATTATTACAATTACCCTAATAGAAATAATCGCAACAATATACCTGTGACGTTCGTCGGGTTCAATAGATAATTTACATTTATCATGAACCACCGTTGAACGTTGTAAGAGACGTAAATATAATTATGTATTTGTAATAGAAAAAAAAAACTATTTTCTTATTAAATATTTCTATCTATATCTCCGAGATGAGGTATTATGATTATTTACATAATTCGGACTGTTATCTTCGTCTTCATTGCCATATTTATAACGTTTCGGCCGTCGTATGCTTCGGTTTTCTTCAGATTGGAATTTCGAACTAAACCCTTTATTTCGTTCACTAGATTGTTTTAGTTCTACGTGCCAGACATCTTCCGGATGGACGAAATAAAGGGCTCAGTTCGAAATTACAATCACCTGAAGATGACTGTAGCTTACAACGGCTGAAACGTTGTGAATATGGGAATGAAGATCAGGATAACAGTCCTGATAAGGCAAATAACGCAAGTAATCATAATATCTCATCTCAGAGATATATAGGCCTAAACGTTGTGAATATAGCAATGAATATGAGGATAACAGCCCGAATAATATAATTAATGCAATGAATCATAATACCTCATCTCAGAGATATAGAGGCCGAAACGTTGTGATTATAGCAATGAATATGAGGATAACAGCCCGAATAATATAATTAATGCAAGGAATAATAATACCTCATCTCAGAGATATAGAGGCCGAAACGCTGTGAATATGGCAATGAAGATGAGAATAACAGTCCGAATAATGTAAATAATGCAACTAATCAGAATACCTCATCTCAGAGATATAGAGGCGGAAACGTTGTGAATATGGCAATGAAGATTAAGATAAAACTCCGAATAATATAAATCATGCAAGTAATCATAATACCTCATCTCAGAGATATATAGGCTAAAACGTTCTGAATATGGCAATGAAGATAAGGATAACAGTCCGAATAATGTAAATAATACAAGGAAACATAATACCTCATCCCAGAGATATAGAGGCCGAAACGTTATGAATATGGCAATGAAGTGAGGATAACAGTCCGAATAATTTAAATAATGAAAGTGATCATAATATTTTTATCTCAGAGATATAGACAGATAAAGACAGAAACAAATTTAGCCTTTTTGTGGGAGAATAAATGCGATTATTGCGAATATGCCGAATGCGAGAAGAAAAAAAGAAGGAAAATGAGAAAAGGATAAAGAACTGATTATGCCGAGAGAATAAAAGACACTATTGAGAAAGAAAGAAACTAATATGCAGTGTAAGAAAGAGAAAGATCAGATAAAAGGAAAGAAAGAAAGAGAGAAAAAAGAAAGAAAGAAAGAAAGAAAGAAAAACAAGTATTCCATTGGTACGGAATAGCAGAAACCTTATAAAAACGATAAACACCTGGACAGTGGCAATACTTAGATGCAGTAGTCAATTCCTCGGCTGGACAAAAGATGAACTCGAATAAATGTGCTGACGTATGAGAAATCTTCAAAACGTGGAGAAGTCTCAACACTTCAAACACAAACATATATGTGAAAAGGAAAATGGGTTACAGAAGATTTTTACGGTTTATCTATCCATCCGAAAAAATATTTTGGATTGTAAAAATAACATCTTTTTTCGTGAGTGAATATTACATCAAAAATATTTTCTTTTAGAATGACAGTGATTTCTCCAGATAAAAATAACACAATTTAACCCATATCTTGGGGTCAGGTTGGTCTCTACATTAATGCTGGCAAAACCGAATTCATCATCTACAGCCAAGAAGGAGAATTTAAGTTGAAAAACGGCAACATCAAATCCGTCTAAGAATTTGTTTACCTCGGCAGCAACATCTAGTCAATGGAGGAAGACATCAAAATGCACAAAGTCAAGTGTCCCTGATGGTCTGGGCACCACCTGGAAGTCCTCTCTCTCTCTCTCTCTCTCTCTCTCTCTCTCTCTCTCTCTTTGAGAATCTTAAGTTGGACTTCTTTAAGGCCACGGAAGAATGTCTTGCTCTACGGCTCAACCACATGGACACTGTCGAAACACTAAGAAGCATAACTTGACGGAACATACACAAAGATGTTAGAATATTTATAAGATATTTTTATGTATATATGTTCTTTTTATAGATACAAATATTTAAGTAAATCCTCTGTTTATAATAACTAGTATTCACAACATTTACCGACTTGAATGTCTGAGAACTATTATATTTATTATAAACTGAGCATTTACTTAAATATTTGTATCTATAAAAAGAACGCATAAACATGAATATGTCTTAAATAATTCTCGGACTTTGTCCATTTCCTCATATATATATATATATATATATATATATATATATATATATATATATATATATATATATAAAAGTGTTTATAGAAGTCAACACTTAGAGGCGACAGTCTGTTTCATGCTATACGCAATCGTCACGCCACGATTGCATCTAGAATGAAACAGGCTGTCGGCTCTCAGTGTTGACTTCTATGTTCACTTAAATATTTACACACGCTCTATATCTGATATTTAACACTTTATCCCATAAATATACCACATCTTAAAATTATATTTCTTCATATATATATATATATATATATATATATAATGGATTCTCCCGTCGGTTTCGACGGATCTGACAACTTAACCACTTGATTCAGTTTTGAATTTTGTGCTATTTTGTGCAAGTAATTGTGCAAAGAAGGCCACATATGGAGCAAGTGTGAGAAATCTGAGTTGAGGTCACAGTTAGATTGACTGACATTTTAGATCTTGCACTCGCTTATTAAAGACAAATTCAGACAAGCAGATTGAAAACCGCTAAGTTCACTAAAACACGTTGATATCAACTCTACCCGATCCGAGGCTAAGCGCTCGTGGGTGTTATGATGTATATTGACAGTTGACAAGTTGCCCGTCTTTGTATCTTAGCCATGGGCGTCCTACATTCCTGTAGCCCTGATCTAACTGGCTGTATATGAGGATCTTGGTTATCCTGTCATCAGACATTCTCAACACATGACCAGTCCACCGCAACTGAGACTATATGAGGAAAGTCTCGATTCCTCTAATATTACACATGTTAAACAGGTCTACATTGGATGACTTGTCTTGAATGATAAAATTTTGAAAACATAAAAACATTGTCGGTAAAGTTACTTTAAATAAATATTCTTAAACAATCCAATTTTCTTTTCAACTTCCTTTCTATGTATATTTCTAGATGCAAAGAACCTTTTGAAGCAGAAATCCAAAGTCTTCAGTCCTTACTTACATATTAAATAATTCTCTTAAGCAGGATAAATAAAAAAAATGTACAATTCCTTTCTTCAAATTTTTCTTCTTTATAGCTATAGCTAAAAACGTTACTGTATATAAAAAGCAAGCTAGTAGTATATCTGGACGCAAAGCAATATATGCCGTTAATGAAATGGCTCACTTGTATTACAATAAAAACAAAAAACAATATAGATGTCCTAGTGGATAAAGTCGTTGACTAGATCTAGTTACAAGACCCAAAGAGCAGCAGTGGTTAACCAAAAAAAAAAAATGAGTTAAATTTGAGTTAAAGGGAAATAACTGAGATATCCGGAAGAGGCATGGCACTTGGAACTAGAACAATCTTCCCCGTTGGACGAACTATAGGGCTCGGTTCGAAATTCTAATCAGCAGATGAAGGCCGGAGCATACAACCACCGAAACTTTGTGAATATGGCAGTGAAGATGAAGGTAATAGTCCGAATAATGTAAATAATCTTAATACCTCATCTCGGAGATATAGACAGAAATATTTAATAAAATATTTTTTTTCTATTACCAATATATCATTTTAGTGAGGTTTTTTATTTTGTTCCTTCAACGGCGGTTAATGATGAACCCGACGAACGACACAGGTATATTGTAGCGATAATTTCTATTACATTAACTGTAATAATATTGACGATTATAATAATACTGTTTTAATAAGAGTGTGACACTATTTAGCTATGGTAATTGGCTAACTAATTAAGCATGGAAATTAAAAACGAGAAATACTTAAGGCGAGAAAGAGCTATAACAAAAGACATACCTAGCGATATTACTTTTTTAAAAAAAAGGAAAATGGGTAAAGAATTTATTTTCATTTACCAAGGATTTGAGGAGCATGGAACCACCTCGTAATTTCTGATGTTCTCAGACCCACCCTGACCCGGAGTGGTAGCACCTGTTAGAGTCCGAGCTATGGGTAAATAGTTAACTCCCAAACTGGAGTCAACACACAATGAAAGTGTAAAATTAAGTTCTAATACCAACAATACATTTTTTTAAAAATAATTACCAGCAATGAATTTTTGTAGAAAAACATATTGCCAGCAATAGATATTATCAACAATATATTTTTGAAGAAAAAATTACCAGAAATAAAAATTTTGTCGACATTAAATAAACCATTGAGGTTGATATGCCGTAAAACAAAACAAAGCAAACCAAACCAGCAATAAAAATCTTGTCGGCATTAAATAACACATTGAGGTTGATATGCCGAAAACAAACCAAACCAAATAAAACCAGCAATAAAAACCTTGTCGACATTAAATAACCCATTGAGATTGATATGCCGTAAAACAAAACAAACCAAACCAGCAATAAAAATCTTGTCGGCATTAAGTAACCCATTGAGGTTGATATGCCGTAAAACAAAACAAACCAAACCAAACCAGCAATAAAAATATTGTCGGCATTAAATAACCCATTGAGGTTGATATGCCGTAAAACAAAACAAACCAAACCAGCAACAAAAATCTTGTCGGCATTAAATAACCCATTATGGTTGATATGCCGTAAAACAAATCAAATTAAACCAAACCAGCAATAAAAATCTTGTCGGAATTAAATAACCCATTGAGGTTGATATGCCGTAAAACAAAACAGAGCAAAACAAACCGCAACCAGCAATAAAAATCTTTTCGGCATTAAATAACCCATTGAGGTTGATATCCCGTAAAACAAACCAAACCAAACCAAACCAAACCAGCGATTAAAATCTTGTCGGCATTAAATAACACATTGAGGTTGATATGCCGTTAAAACAAAACTAATCAAACTAGCCCCTCAACAAAAATCCTCTTTACAAAAATACATCATTGAATTTCTTACAAATAATACATATTCTATATATATATGTGTGTGTGTGTGTGAGTATCAAATTATCGTCCATCTTGTCGGCATTAAGTAACCGATTGAAACTGATATACCGTAAAACAATCCAAACCAAACTAAACTAGAGGAGCTGCATTAATTAGTTTCACCTTTTCAGACCTTTGCAGGTAAGAACAGCCGGATAAATTATACCCAATCCTTTCGTATTTCTTTCAAAAGGTAGTTCATTTCCGACGGTTCTCCCCAAAAACCTTCGATTTGTGAAAATTATTCCCCAGTGGCTGTTTCCACGATCACTGCAATCCATTTATACATTTTTGCCATGTCATCACAATGTGTAATTTTTAATTCCTCTATATATGTCCAAACAACAACCTCATTAACTAACCCTCTACATTGAGTGGCTCTTGGGCCTTATATCGGGGTGATCAATTAGTAGAAAAAATATAGTGCATGAAACTGAAATTGGCACTCAGCAATAAGAATAAAACAAAACCTCAGCATAAATACGAAAGCAAATATGACAGAGTTGCAATATTCATACAGTAGGAACAATGCAAATCAATTGGTGTTGACCATGCAGCGTAAACTTGTCGGCAAACAACAATCACTAAATCTTCTGGAATTACTATATCCAGGCCGACAAATCTATCCAAGAAAGAAAACTCGATCAGAGAATCGTGTACATAAAAATGTAAAAAAATGCTACTAGGTTGTGTAAGTGTTAACAGAAGACGATCACAGAATAAAAAAAGATGAAAGTGTAAAAAAAATACCAGGATCTTGTCTGGCAGCTAAGAAAATTTATTATATGAAGGTTAGTATCGTGCCCACCATAGTGTGAACATTCGTAACCCTGACAAAAATACTGATATCGCACATGGAGATTCTGGGACTATCTGACATTTTGCAGATGCCGTTGTTGTTAAGTATCTGCGAGAATACTGAGAAAGGTGCTGGCTATTTGAAAAAATACTCTCAATCAACCATCACTACCGATCACCAAACATCTGTTAAAAACATCCAAATAGATGAATAGTAACTACTCAGTATTAGCCTTGACAAAACAAGTTTTTAAAAAAAGCATATTTTACGTTATTGTTATTACTGAAAAAAAAAAACGAAATTTGTTTAAAAACCAAAAAAAAAAATCCATTAACTCTAGAATCCAACCCATACCTGTCAGCACCTCGATATTTGCAATGACTAATGAATCATAAAGAAAACCCAAAGAAAATATCCCAATTT